TGTTATGTTATTGTACAGGTGTGCAATATAATGATTCAGCAATTCTCTGCATTACTCAGTACTCATCACAATAAGTGTACTCTCAAACCCCTTTAATCTATTTTACCCATCTCACCACCCATCTCCTTTCCGGCAACAAACAGCTTTTTCTCCATATTTGAGTCCCTTTTGTCTGTCTTTTTCTTCTGTGTTTGTTCATTTCTTTTGTTTCTTAAATCCCACGTGTAAGTGAAGTCATACAGCATTTGTGTTTGCCTGCCTTACTTCAGTTAGCCTTATGCCCTCTAGGTCCATGCATGTTGTTGCAAATGGGAAGATCTCATTCTTTTCTATTTCTGAGTAGTGTTCCATTTGTATGTTCCATTTCTTTATCCATTCATCTATGGATGGACACTTAGGTTGCTTCCATAATTGGCAATTATTAATAGTGCTTTTGAACATCGGGGTGCATATATATTTTCAAATTAGTCCTTTCATTTTCTTTGGGTAAATATCCAGTAGTGGAACTACTGGATCCTGTTTTAATTCTATTTTTTATTTTGAGGACCTTCCACACTGTTATTCATTGTGGCTATGCCATTTTTTATTCCACCAGCAATGTGCAAGAGTTACTTTTTCTCTACATCCTCACCAACACTTGTTATTTCTTGCCTTTTTTATTTCAGTCATACTGACAGGTATGAGGTGATATCTCATTGTGGTTTTGATTTGCATTTTCCTGATGACTGGTGATGTTAACATCTTTTCATGTGTCTGTTGGCACTCTATATGTCTTCTTTGGAAAGATACCTGTTCAGATCCTCTGCCCATTTTTAATTGAATTATTTGAATTTTTTAGTGTTGAGATATACAAATTTGTATATATATACATACAAATTTATATATGTATAAATTTGTATATATACATATATGTGTATATATTTTATATATTTATATATATTATATATTTTTAATTTTTAATATTATTATAATATATATATTTTAAATATCCTCTCTCTATATATAGGATATTAACTCGTTATTAGATATAGAATTTCCAAGTATCTTCTCTGATTCAGGATGTTCCCTTGTCATTTTGTTGATGATTTCCCTTTCTGTGAAAAAGCTTTTTAGGTTGGTGTAGTCTCAATGGTTTAATTTTGCTTTTGTTTCTCTTGTCTGAGGAGACATATCTAGAAAAATATTTCTACAGACTATGTCAAAACTAACAATTCTTTGTATTAAGCTTCCCCTGTTCAAGTTACTGTGATCTCTCTTTCTTGACTGGACAGTTATCAGTATCATTAGAAGTCCCATATCAGTTTCATTTTTTTAAAAATTTTATTTATTTATTTATTTATTTATTTATTTATTTATTTTAGTGTCCGTTCAATACAAGAAGCTTCTGATGTCTTTTTGTTCTGATTTATTTGCAGATGAGAGCATAGTGCCGCAGGTTGTCATGTCTTGAGCTCTCACGGGATGCTTATCACTCACATCAGGCTCTTAAGCATTTCCACTTTAATTAGGTGAAAGAAAGGACTGCCAAAAAGCACCATTGACTAGGAATCTTTGGATAGAAACCTGACAGAAAAGCATCTGGAACTATCTCTGGCTTTTTCTTGCTGGTTCTGGTATAGGCTTTAAACCATCTTTTCTATCTTGTTTCACCTGATGGGTTTCTAGCCAAAGTGTTTTATCTCTGTTGATTTTGGGGGGGGGGATTAATTTTTGAGTAGAGATTTTATTTTTAGCTAAGGATTTCTTCACATATATAGGTAAGAGAAAATTATGGTAAGATATACAATGATATGTATACCTTCTGGTGAAAATAGAGAAGAGAAGAAAGAAAACCTTGCCACCTGTGCCAGTACCAAAGAAGAGGAAGGAGGGTGAGGAGGAGGAGGAGGAGGAGGATAGGGTTGTCTGGCTGGCTCAGCTGGTGGAGTGCGTGACTCTTGCTCTCAGGGTTGTGGGCTTTAGCCCCATACTGGGGGAGAGATTATTTAAAAATAAAATCTTAAAAAAAAAAAAGAATGGAGAGGATAAGGAATTGGTAATTTGCATTGGCATCACTCAAATACAGAATGAGGTTTAAATGATGCTAATGTCTATGTTCATTTGTTCCAGACAGGTTTCTTGAGTGCCTGTGATGTCAATTCTTCCAAATCAATCCATGAATTCAGTGAAGTTCCACTTAAAAGCCAATATGATTTTTTAGGTTTATGTTAAATAGATCCATTAGAACAAATGTGAAAAGTAGTTTAAATTTTTTGAAAAACAAAACTCACAAATGAAAAGTTGTTCTACAAGTTACTAGAATTTATTATGGTGGTACAGTAATTAAGACAACATGATACAGTACAAGAATAGATACATACATCAGTAGGACAGAGTGGAGAGTCTGGAGACGGTACAGACATGTCAAAGAATAGTGTGGAAGGCACTGACTTTAAGTAATGGTATGGGAAGACCTGGGATCATCTAGGGTAGATAGGGAGGGTATAACATGAAATAATGACTTCATACCATATACAAACTGAACTCCAGATGACTAAAGGAACAACTGAAAAGTCCTAGAAACATACTAGAAGAAAACACAGAAGGTTATTTTTGTAGAATTCTGGTGAAGAAAACAGTCATGAACAAGACCCAAAGGCAGAAGTAATAAAATGAATGATAGCGGGACACACAAAGTTACAATTGCTGTATGACAACATATAGGTAACAAAGTTGAAAACAAAGACTGAGAGAGCATTTGCCATATACAGGAGATATATATATATATGGAATATATATTCCATATATATATATAGAGAGAGATATATATATAGAGAGAGAGCATTTGCCATATACAGGAGCTATATATATATATATATATTTCATATATATATATATGGAATACAAATACTGTATAAATCAGTACAGAAAGAAAATATAAAATCACATGCAACATATATTTAAAAATAAATCACACACAAAGAAAAACAAATGACTAATAAGTATATTGCCAAGATTTTCAAAGTCACTGGAAAAATGCAAATTAAGGCAAGATGTCATTTTTCCCAATGGGCTTAAAACTATAAAGGACTGATAGTAACTAGTGTTAACAAGAGTGAAAGGCAATCTTGGAGGTGCATTTGGCAGCCACTCTCAAAGCATAAATTTTACATACTCTTCAATAACATAATTCCACTGCTAGAAATCTATTTAATACAAAACCTACATAACTGTATGAGATATTTATACCATGATGTTCATTGCTGCATTAAATTTATTAGCTAAAACTGAAAAACTAGATTTAATTGCACTGCAGTGGAGAAACAGTTGAGTAAATTACAATGGTGTGCTGGTCCTTGATTGGCTTTTTCCTTGGACCCGTTCCTCCCCTTCTTCTTCCCTCTTCCATAGTCCCTCCAGGCCGGAGACTTCTTCCAGGCTTTTCTTTTAACTGGCTTTGACTCACTTAAGCCAATGGGAAGTATTTCTGGGAGGTTGGTTGGCTGTAAGGGAGTAGCCATCATACTCTTTCCTAACTCTCTTTGCTTTGGTTATTGTTTTTGGGGTTTGTTCCATGGCCAGTGATCTTATTAGGCCCATTGCGGTTAATACTGCCCAGGCCCTGCGCAGTATTAACACGCCCTCCTTTTTTTTGTCCCTATAGCTTAAAGATGCTATTGACTTCCTATCGATATTAATCCCTAGATTTCTTCTTTGTTCTTATTTGATTTTTTACCTCTTCTACTGTTTCTGTAACTAATTCTTAGTATTAGTGTTCAGTCACTTTAAATACTTAAAATGATTTTGTATTCCTGCTTGGAATGTATACATATACACCTCTGTAGCTGGTAAAAAAAAAAATAGTAAAAGAAATTTAAAAATGAAAAAGTCTAACCACATACTGAGTGGAGGGAACTTCTAATAAATTGATGACTCCACAGTAACTCAGGTTCTGCCACTTTTCCAATGCCCACCTCCACAAACAAATGTCAGGTCTTTTTCAAGATGAAGCACCATACTTATTGTAGTGTACATTTCCTAACCATGTAACATGCATGTGTAAAAGTGTAGTACAATTTTTATTAGGTCTTTATCTTCTTTTTCTTCCTTATGGATCATTACAGAGTTTTCAATTATACCCAAGAGTTTTATTATACCCAAGTCCCATTTTTCTCATCAGCCTCATGGTTTTTATTGTACAGCTTTGCAAATTATACTGATTTTTAGCAGCTTGTATGTCATATAGCAGCAGAACTGACTATTCATATACCAAAATGTTAATAGTGTTCCTTGGGTAACAATTTATTTATTGTTTATCTGTAGTTTCTATTTTTTCTAAAATAATCATGTATTGATAATTTAGTGAAATCTATATAAACATGTTTAAAAGATGAGTTGGTAGCTAAGGAGTGATCACAGCCATTCCAGGTGAAGGGCTGAAGCTGTTCAGGAAACCTCCACTCATTCACTGATGATGCAATCAATGAAGTGCCCTCTAACCTCCCTGAAAGGCATAATCAACTTATGCTCCTCCTGCAACACACAGATACAGTTTTGCAGCAATATCTTGACAGCTGCTTTGATCAGAGAGTCCCCCATAAGTGCTCAGAAAAATACAGATATGATTAGTCAAGGTTCCATTAAACATGGTGGATCATGTAACAAGCCAAATGCCCCTAAATAGGTTTGCAAACATTCAGAAGTTAATACTGTACAAGTCCAGAAATCTATAGGCAATAACCAGTGTGATATAGTGAGTGCTTATTGACTTTGAAGCTTGGCCTTACTGAGATTAGAGCACCCTGTGCTTCGAGGAAATAGGACTCTGAGAAGAAAACAAACAGAACACAATGTGAATTAAAAAAAAAAAAAAGAATTTTCATTTTGTGCTCTGAGTCTTGAATAGCTGTCCATGTTTTCAGAGTGAACTTTCACCTGTTAGCACTTTTCTCTTCCCCTTTCTAAGGCTGTATCATGTTTTTGTGTTGTTTGTTTGTTTTTCTTTTTTTTTTTTAATGTTAAGTTACTCCACCTACAGTCAAACTCCAGTGTTTATCTTTGTTTTGGGCATGATTCCTCCCCTTTCCCTCCCTCCTGTGTCCTGCACCCACTGAACTCTGAACTCCTTCTTGGTCCCTGTGTTTTCCTGTCTCTCTACACAGAATCTGCTGTTGGCTGTGTTCTCCATGGAGCTCTGTTCCTAGCTGTTCTCTGACAAAGGGCTTGTTCTGTGTACCACAGTTCTGGTCCTCTTTGTTCAGCCTCTGGCTTCAACCACTGAATCGCAAATATTCTCCAGCTGGGAATCAGACAAGGACAGACATGAACCCAGAAGCCCAACAGGATGTTTCAGTTTCCCAGGGAATTCGCATGATGTTTTACATGGTGAAGCCCAATGAAACGTCATTCCAAACCCTGGAAGAGGTGCCTGATTATGTAAAGCAGGTGAGACTATATGGGAAGAGGCTACAGTTGTGTTTGTCTTAATAAGAAGTATGTTAAACCCATCCTGGGGTTTTGTTCACATTTGTTCTTCAAATTATTAAATTCTAATAAAAATAATTCAGTTTTATAAAGGCATGGAGCCATATTAAAATTTCTACTTGAATTGAATTTCTGTACAATATCAGAGACCAGTTTCTCCTGTTAAACTCCTTTCCTTGGATATGTCACTGCAGAATATGATAAAACTTTACAAAGTTTTCCTAGACACAGTGGTGTTACAAATTTAGTTGTCAGAAGCTCAGTGTCAAATGGTTATATGACATCAGTAAACTCTGTAACAGTTTTGGTTTTAAAGGGAAAACTACCTCCCAGGAAACAATTTCCTCTTTAATTTGGTAGAGTAGTTCTGCAGAATGGATATAGAGCTGACCGAGTCCAACTCTGACTTCCTAAGTTTGAACTTCAACCAAGTTTTCTTTGAAATTCTGAAGTGTTCAGAGGCACTTTTTACTTCTGGTTCCTGGCTATGATTGGAAGTGGAAATATCCAGAATTAGAACTTGAATACCTAAGTTCCCCACCCTGTCAAAGTTTGTTCCTATAACACTTACGAGTTCAGAACAGAAATAAGGAAAAAAAAAATGACATCAGAGAATATGTTCTTGGGAGTTCAGTTTAGAAAACTTCAGCACTCATGACTAGCTTCCAAGTGAGTATAACCCATAGCTTTTACAGGATTTGATATTACTCCTTTCTGAGTTTTTAAGGAGAAAATGTGATACTCCCATCTTTATAAATCATTATTTTTTGTATTATAACATCAAACTTTTTTCAGCATTTGTCATCCGTAGTGGAGCCTAAAAATACTTATTATAGCACAGAGCTAAAACTGAGTGAATAAAACTTGAATGATGTTTTAAATACACATTTTAAACAATCATATTCTCTGAAATACTTGGAAGAAAATGTTTTGTTCCTACAGTTTCAATTTTGTCATTCCTGTAATTTTAACATGAAAAACTAGAAATATGTGTATCCTAAGTGAAGCCTTTTAAAGAGGGTCTTAGTCATAGAGATAATAGACTTCTGATTATTGTGCTTATTTTAATTTTTTTTTCTGGTCTAACTTGAAACCTATCCCTCCTAAACTTATTATTTTCTTGGCAGAATTATCATGGTTACATATATGGTTATATTTCATTTCCAAATTGGATGATAGATTTTGAGCACCTGTTTAGTATATGTCTGAAATAATCAGATTTCTTTGCCTGTTGGGAGGAAGTGATCTTCTAGGATAAGTATATACCTTCTCCTGCTATGAGATGGCACCCTGGGCCTCCTACTTCTGGAATGACTAATCAGGAAATGTGGAAGAATTTTATATCAAGCACAATAGCATCTTTTTTGTGCCATTTCCTTTCCAGGCAACTCCATTTTTCATTTCCTTAATGCTTCTTGAACTGGCCGTCAGCTGGATTCTCAAAGGGAAGCCATCAGGTCGTTTGGATGATGCATTAACATCAATATCAGCCGGCATTTTTTCTCGGCTTCCAAGGTGAGTTAGTTGGTTAGCCATGCTAAATGAATAACCTGAAATTATCTAAGTAAGATGGAAGACGAACCCACTGTATGGGGAGTTTGTTTGTTTTCACATATATACATATATTCTCAAAGTACCCAGTTGCTGTCATTATTTAAATTCTTGATATTTCGTTCACCATGGATTTGTTTTCGTATTCATTTTTAAAGATACTACTCTAAATGTTATTTATCTTGATTACCGAGTTTATTGCTGCCCCCTTAAATTTTGTGCCCAAGGTAAGTGTTTCACTTGCCTTAGCCTAGTCTGACCCTGAGTTATATAGTCTAGTTATCTACTAGAAAATTAATTTTGCCCCAGCCAAATTCATGTGCTGTGCAATTTGTGGTACAGATACTCTCTAATAAAGATCACAGAAAGCTTTGAATTACTACGTGGTCTCCCAAGTGGTCTCTAGTCCTCTTTCTAGTACTACCTCATTTTCAACAAAACATTTCTATAATTTGGATCTGGTGAAAATTCTTCATAGGTTCCATATTGCCTAAGGATAAAGTTTGAATTATTTTTTCCTGAACTGTAGAAGCCTTTGTCTATCTACGCTTACTTTTGCTCCCTTCATTCTCCTTACCCCTTTGCAGTATTTGTTCCTTTCATATTCTACCACTTGCCATTGCTCAGATGTCACACATGCTTCCCTCTGCTTGGAAAGCCATTACTGTGGCTAACTGATTCATTTCTTAGGTCTAAGGGTAGACTTCTCTTGAAGAGTCACATTGTTCAGCGAATCTTCTCTGTCCTCCAACCCTACATGAGGCATCACTTCACTGTGGTCCCATGGAATCTTGTGCTTACCCCAGTTGCAGAATTGTCACATGGCATTATGCTCACCTGTTTTTTTCCCAGTCCTTCCTGATAGATTGCATGCAACTTGAGAGTAAGAGGGATCTTTCTTCATAATTTTAACCCCTATGCCTGGAATGGTATCTGGTATATTCTAGATTTTTAAAAATTAATATTTTTGTAGTGCTATATTGGTAAGATTAGATGATGAAGGTACCAAACAGTAAACAATAAATGACCCACTACATTTTAGAAAGAGTAAATTATAATGTAGGCAGAGGAAAAGCAATGCATGGGAGGCTCTTCAGTACATGAGGATTTACCAAAGGGGCAGAAGGTGAATCTTCCGTTAGAACTCTGTGCTCTGCACTGCTGATGAATGTTCTCATTTCTACTTCCCACTCATTGCCTCTTTTACTGTTTTAAGAGCTTTACTTCTGATCAGTGCTCATTGCTTTGGAATGTTTCTGAACCACCCAGTGGGAAACCAAGGTGGATTTTTTAAAATAAAAACTTAAAGATATCTGAGAAAAGGTAGAATAATTTCATGTAATTGCATAAAATTGTTTAGAAAGGAAAATTTCTTTCATAAATGTTACCATGGAAAAGTAGGCTAATGGGTATAAAATAATAATAGTAATAATTCTGATAATCATCATAATAATGACTGAAAATCTACTCATATGGTTGCACGTTGCTGTCAGAATTAGAGGATAATATCCCAAGTTATTTGCAGTTAACTCCCCTAATATGCTAAATAGGAGTTTATAATTATGCATAATTTTCTCTATTTCATGTCTCCTTTGATCAGACTTGAATAAGAAATACATTAAGCATACTGAGAGGATACATAGATTTGATTATTGAAAACTACCCAGTTGGTTACTGTAGTTTGAGGAAGTTAAGTGTACAAGCTCATGGAAATCGGACAAGTGATGAACTAGAAGAATAAGTTGATAATTGAGAGATGCCCTGCCAGTACAATTAGGGATCATATATTGTGTTGAGTTGGAATGAATTTATTAAGAACTCAAGGAAACATCAAGCTGACTCAATGCTTCAGCATGACTTTTACTTTTTCAAGTTGGACTTCGGTCACAAGTGGAATTAGATTATTCTCTTGCCATAACTTGGTAACTACTAGAAATAGAAACTGCGTTCTCAGCACAATGTTTCTGCTCAGCAGTGTGATAAAAAGTGTACAAAGTTTTAACAGGTACCCCAGAATCAAATATATATATATATGTGTATGTTTGCTATAAACAAACCCCCAATGCATAAGGGAGAGGGGAGAGAGGGAGAGAAAGAAAGAGAAGACAGCAGGAGGGGGAGAGGGAGAGGGAGAGAAAGCGAGAGACCAAAACAAAGCAGTCCTTCAGGGATGAGACATACAGCTCCTTTCCTTCACAGCCCACTCCCCACAACACTGTGGAAGCTGACACAAGCTGTTCACCCTGGCGCCCTTTGAAAGAAGTGAATTTGAATGTGGAACATATTTTTCCACAGTTGTGTTTTGAACGGGAATTAGCAAATTGCTTATTGTTGCTGTTGTTTTTGTATGTGTGTCCAGCAATTCTAAATTTTGAAATGTGGATAATTTTGTAAGGGTTGCAACAATTTGATCTTTTACAACCTTTTACCTAAAACATTTCAGCAAAGCAAATTATCTGAAAGAGAAATGCAAAAATATTTTCACTTATTTGTTCCTACTAAGTGTGTGCACATGCACGCACACACACACACAGAAGCAGAGAAGAAAAGCTGATCCACAGGATCCACTCTACTCAGTCCCCTTTCAGTGAAAGACAGGAAGGGGGATTTAACAGAAACTCATAAAACAATATTTCAGCATCAAGGGGAATCCTCGTGCAAATCATTAACAGCTGAAGGTTAGATTAACACGGCATTGATCATATCCTCTCCAAGGGACTAATTTCATTTTCTACAGCAGCAACAGGGACTTTCCACATCCTTAAAATACATAATTGGGAGAAAAAATGGTACTATACCATTTGTTAATCTTCTTGTGAGGAATTGCACTTAGGATAATAATTCCAAATAGGCATGTGGTCTCTGACGAAAGAAGTTGTAGAAATCAAAGTGAAACCATGAACATGTTTTTCCACTTTGCCCTTCATGTAATGGAAATGCTGTATGCAGACTTTGAGGGAAAACAATGTTTGTTTGAGGATCTCAATTTCATCATTACATAAAATTCAAAGTATCTTGAAGATTAGTAACGTACTTAGCATATTGATAGAAAAGATACATACTGTGTCTTTCAAATATTTATGTAAGGGAAAATATTTATCACAGACAAGATTCTATCTTGTTTATAAGCCTGTCAGACAGACGATGACCTGTAATAAAAGTCCATCTGTCCTAAGATCCAGATTCTGGGCAGACCTGCATCTGTTTTGCTCTTCTGGAGTCTTGTAGGCAGACTCTTCCTCGTTAGGATCTAGTTCTGAAGTTATAGACGGATATTTTTATTTGTCATAGTTAAATGAAGTGGAGCATATGTAGATAATCTGCTTTTCTATCAATTACTTGCACATGTGACTGTAAAAATTAAACTTAACCAAATACTTACTAAATCTACTTTAAAAAAATGTATCTAAAACTTGTGAAATATCCTGCTACTGACTTAAATGCTAATGAGTGAAAAATAATCACATCTTTTTTTCCTGCTTATTTAGGCAGAACTCAATTTCCAATTCTTCATTAGAAAACCAGGACCTCAATTTGTTACTTCCTTCCAGTGTTTCTGCTTCCATAAATTGCATCCTCCCCAGAGAAATTTTATTCCCGATATAAATATCTACAGTATGTTTGTTTTTAATGGGTTCATTTAGTTTGTTGAAACAGCAGATTATAAATCAAATTGCAATAGGTTGAGGGATAATTTAAGTAGGTAAATTTTCAAATAAATTGGGGACACTCCAGTTTTAATACATATGGGTCCTTGCCAAATTTTAGTATGGAGCTAACTTCACAATGTTGAACCATACATATGCACCGTTTTACAGGCCATGACTGCCACGGAATTTTCCATTCCTGACAAGAAAGTTTCAATTCATTAAAAAAAAAATATTAAAGAGGAGGAAATTAAATTTCTTTAGGATACTTCACTCCTTGGGGTGGGATTGGAGAATAAAGGAAAATTGTATACTGGAATTTTATACTAGACCGTAGCATCACAGGCAGTACTGCCTTTGGCGATATCAGACTACTAACAAATCAGTGCCTGTCATTCTGGATGAGGACCTTAATAAATAGTTATTCATTGTTCAAGATAAGAGATAAATGCATTTATGTAATGTTAATAATGTTATTTTATTATTAATATTAACATCTCAAGGTAACTTTTTATTAACCCCCTCGGTAAAGAAAATATATTTTTAAAACTTACTGGTTTGTTCATGATATTTGCTGTGGAGAATGCTTCATTTCCTCTTAACATTTACCTCAAACTTTATAAATAGACTTTGTCTTTGTTGTTAATTGTGGAACTTCAGAGATTGCTATTAGACTAACCGTCCCTAATTATGCAAGCAAGCTTCCTTGTACTTACTCAATAGAGAAATGGAATTCTTAAGTAATTTACTTTTTGCATAGTAAAGAATGTAGCAAATTTGCTTCTTCCAAATTTGTCATGTTGTATTTATAAAGGTCTATGGTTTTTGTGGTTGTTGTAAAAGGAAATTAAGTGATTGCTTCGTCAATGTAACATCATTTCACAGTAAGAAATAGCAGTACAGATGTTATCTGTCTTTAGGAGGTAGAGGTTACGTTATGTATTCTGTTAATACTGAGCGAAAATCAATATTCCACTAGATGGAGCAAAAGTGGCAGTAGCTTTACAGATAGGGCAAGTTCCTGGGCTAGGTTTAAGAGATTTTGAAATAAATAAACAACAAAATTTCTTGGAAAAATCAGTATCTAACTGTTCAGCTGTATTTGTTTATAACTTTGTGAAGCTTGTAAGGAGATTTAGAATGATCCCATTCAAATAATGGTTTATTTTCTGATTTATAAGACAGGATTATTAGAAACAAAGATGTCCTACTGATTTTCTTCATTTTTGTGTTATCTGGCCAAATCAGACAGTACACACAGCTCTAATGACAGTGATGTAATAGTATAAATTGGCAGATATCCGTGAGTACTGAGTA